TTTTAAATCTTTGGTAAAATCAGCCTTATTTATCAATTTTTAACTTAAACAAGACATAAGGTTTGAGCACAAAATTCATGCTTGAACATGAGAACGGTTTCATGAAAACGGGCCTAGATCTTTATGTTGACATCTGAATGAACTGAATGTAAATGAAAATTACCATACAAGCACACTTACCTACACATGAAGCCATAAAAGACATCAAAGTAAAACAAAGCAGCATATCCATTACTATCATGTTCATTTACAAAATGAATAACATCTGGACAACAGGGAAGTATTCACTTGTCCTAAGTGGTTTTATTTGTAGGGAAATCGATTTCCTGACATACACACATCATCTACCGCGATTAATATACTTAAAGGTGAAACTACAAAACTGGTTTACCCCAACACCGTATATTGTATAATCTATGCAAAATATGTCTACTGGCTCTGGCAAACACATATTTTGACCAATGTCACCAATAAATGACGTCGAATATTCCGCTCAGTACGAATGTAATATAAAGATATCGACCAATTCGAAATTCACCCGTATGACAAGGAAATCATAAATATCATAAATATGAATTATGTGACAAGTTCCGATCACTGTTATAGTTGTGTATGGAACTGCGACCATACCTGAAAGTTACAATAAATACACGTGCTGTCAGCGGAAATTTCATTGTACAGGTAGGTATATTGTGTAAATATCACAAGGCACCATACGATATTGGGAAAGATAGGAGAAATCGATATCATTAGTCTCTGGATCTCGTGGTTTCTCTCTTTCTTTTCATATTTAAGTTTTTGTTTTATTTTGGTATTGCAGATGTTCTACAAACGATCATTGTGGTTTTGCCTTAACTTACAGTAGGCATTGTAATGCTGATTTATTGCATTTTAAGAGCCCTCTACTGCCTACATTAGGGTAAATACGCTTCATATAGGTCATACGTCCGATGAAGTTTTATTGGAGTAAAAAAATAGTCCGAAGATACCTTAACCATAAGCTTCTGCCAGTGTGCTTTGTGATAATGAAACTTGTCAAATAGTTTGTTATGCCACTTGCCTGTATCATCGTAACATACTTAATTATAGAACACTGACATAAATATATAATTTAGAAAAATCTAAGACTGTCTATTTATGGTATGATTGTAATGTCATAATAGTAAGGTTACTCTGCGACCACTCTAGATGTACTATCAAGACATAGATATATTCATTTAGGTAAAATGCATGACCTCATGTCACTGTTTACAATACGGACTATCATATACTCTCTTTTCTATTTCAGGTGATTTGTGGCATTTTTTAAGTGTTGTGAAGGGTTCTTTTCCGGACCGATTGTCCTCCGGAAATTCTGATCATGATGCAACAAGCACATAGTATACTTTTTATCATTAACAGTATACAATATCAATTGTCGATTTGGACTTTCCATTTTTGTTATCTTGTCAGTATCATACTTTTTTCGAATTCTCTTGAAATCAAACTGACTTCCGAAGGTTATCTGAAAATTGAATCGTTACATTAATGAAACATAAAATCGGCACAGAAATGAGATTATGGTTTGATTAACTTATTCTTTATAAAGAGACGTGGAGTTTACACATAACCAATAAGCATTGGCACACATATGTGCTTCCAAACAAGTAACGTATGTTGTATAGTGTGTATGTCATTCTCTAAAAAAAAAACCACCAACATATTCTCTAAATTGTTATTGAACATCATAAGTCAAGGAAATTATGATGAAGGCATGACAATACTGTTATACAAAAATTTTTTTATGACGGGCTTTGTACTGTCTTGTCCTTGTTTTGATACTGGCTGGCTTATTTAGTTTATGGCGGTAAGTACATGCAGGAAATTAAAAATAATGCTCTTCTTAACCCCGTATCTGAACTATGCACTTTCAAAGGAATACATTATAAGTATATTTAAAGCTATCAACTTTTTATGTAATAACTGAACTCTGTTTTTAATATATGTATGAGTAAATATTGTTTATATATACTTTTCTTTTTTTTTTAATTTTAAAGACGGCTGCTTTGTTATAGATGGAAGTGAATGCCTCGAGCATGAGAAAATGTTCTATATATGTTATAATATAAGACACAGTGCAAAACACTAGTCTAACTCATTACATGAAATAAATCCTGCTGTGAACTTGTATTAAAGGGGCTATTTAGTCAAGTTTGTTTATTTTCTTCTAAGTGAAAATAGGTGACATATTGATACAAGCGCGTTTCCCATCAATTTTTAATTAATTACGTTGGAAATCCTAATTGTCTGTGCAGCAAGATAAAATGCTAATGAGCAAGCCGCCTATGCACCCTTTGACCTGTGAGCATTCGCAAACGCGTCTGAAAAAAATGACTACCCAACGGAAGCGTGTCCGTGGCAAACGGGTCACGTCATCGCACACAAAACGTAGAAAAGGCCAGTGACAAAAAGCTCACCCTGGAATAACAATGGGAGTGTAGCACGAGAGGTGGGATAAGTTCAAGAAAGAAAACTTTTTTCCAAAGTAATGAAAAAGTTGTGAAGACTCTCCTAGACTGTTGGTAAGTGATACGTCATCATCGCTGGTGATATTTTTGTATGTCAGACCGTGTTTGGCAGATTTAAACCATCAAATAACAATTCATCGCGAATTTTAGCAACTTTTATATGTTTCACAAAGGTTTACCACTCAATTTTTCTCATGATTTCCTAACGATAGGAGTTAACCTGAAATCAGACTCACCGTTTCGTCACTTGATGCCTGCATATCGCTATATTAGGATTATCGTTAATTTTGGCGGGGGCTTCCCAGATTTTAAGGTGACCACACTGGACATTGGCTACGTAGGAGAAAACTATTATGTACAGATTTGTTTGTCTGGACACATATAATTTCATTTCCAGCTGAATAGTAAAAAACGTTGCTTGACTAAATAGATCCTTTAATATGTCCCATTTACATACGTGTTGGAGAACCATTCAAATAGGCTAAACGAAACTGCTCTAATAGACATTTTGTCGAACGAAGTATTTTTGAGCGGTAATTGATTTTTTTATAACTTTATGATTTGAACAATAATAGTGATTATAGACCTATCAATATATTTACTTGTGAAATATTTGTAATACTGTAGGCGTAAACACACCTACTTGTTTTTAATAGCCATGTTTATTACATGTTGAATAATAATAATGTTACATGTACAAAAAGCAACATCTTATCAACACACAGAGTTCATATACTAGTACTTCACATTGTGTCCCGTATCAGAACTGTCCATCTGGTGGGCTCCCCAAGGCTGCCTCTGACCGTGCAGTCGGGTGTCCAAACACCTTCTCCCCTATCCCCAGAATCTAGCTTTATTTATCTCCTCTTGACCGATTCTGTCCCTCTATCCCCTTATATGGACTTCACTTGTTAATAGATGATACGATTGTTGAAGTATAGCCACCTGTACTCGAGGTGCAAGGTTGAGATTCCTCCTGCTAATTTGTTACTTGAAATAGACCCTAATAATTACTCCACCACTAGGTAAATTACATAAGTTTAATTACCAAGGCAGTGGGGATAGTCTCTAATTAATTAACTGGCCAAAGCTGTACACCCACTGATAAGATTCTCCGGGCCCAGACTACGTCAACCTAAGTGTATATATGCAAGTAATTATCTACACCCCTGCGAATTACCTATATATGTTTTATTGATATACTATTGAACATTAAACGAACTATTGTTTAAGCTAACTTATTTCAACCAATCCCATATGAAAATACAGTTGTGTTACGCTAAACCCTATTTTGTTACATATTATTTTACCGTTGTTTCCGTAACGAATTATGAATGATATTTCGGTCATTTCTTAAACATCCGAATCACGAATGATACAACCGTTCGCATTTATTCTTCAACTACAACGTTATTGACCTCAACAGACTTTGTTTCTCTAATATATTGTGTATCAGCAACATGTAAGCTATTTGCATTACATTACATTGATAATGAACTTTATTTACAGCATTTTTATGTACTAATGATAGTATTAATGATATTAATTATAAAATATATACAAAGTATATGAAAAATGATACATAAATTTTATAATTTTGTTGATGATCAATGTTTTTATATAATAGCTGCAAATCCTTATGTTGTTATTAATATAATTTTAAACTGTTTTGTTTTGATTCTAATGTTACTTAACTACATACTCACCTTGGCATCCCAACTTATCCCCCTCCCCCTCTCTCACCCTTTCTCTATACAAATTTCTTTTGTTAGATCATTTACATCTTTCATTTTGATGGAATTGTCTTGTTCAGAATAAAACTTTGAAAATAACCAAAATGAAATGTCTATCATTTTCTTCTGTCTACTTGTCTGTCTTTCGGCCGCTTTGCCTTTCCTATAGAAATCTTTGCTTTTCCTATAGAAAAAATCGGTGAGTGAGTGTACAAAAATTGAAAGGTCTCGTGTGAAAGTGATTTATATATGATGTACATGTATCTATATAATGAACACTCATAATATGATAAATTGGTAGAAATCCATTGCCACTTAATATGTGAGAGAAGGTTTGTGAATATGGTTGCGACTGAGGATAAATTGAGAATTGATGATGACGTGCATGATGATGAGATGATAATGCACGTGGTGATGATGATGTGTATAATGATGAATTGATGATGATGATTTGTATAATGATGAATTGATGATGATGATGATGATGATGATGATAATGATGATATGGATAATAAAGATGATGATGATGATGATGATGATAAGTGTTCAAGTAGAAGTATTTATGTTTATGAGTGAAAGGTGAAAGTGAGTGCAAGGGAGTAAGATAATCACCAGTTATTTTGTAATATATATTGTCTTTGCATAAATGTTTGGAAAATAAAAGAGATGCAAAAAGTATTTCTGTATAGTTTTTGAAGGTTGTATTTATACTTATATACTGAGTTCAACTGATTCGTTCGAAGTATACAAGGCACGAAAACTATTTGATGGTATTGGAAAATGATAATGAGGCCGTTAGAGGCATAAATGATGTCTCTTCCATCCGTTGTATCTTGGTATTAGAATAACAGCTCACGAAGAGAAGGAGATACGGTATTTGACCCATGCTGACGTCCGTGTTGGTACTCATCGGACTGTTGGTGAATGCTAATGTGATATCTTCTTTTGATACACTATCAATCCCATTGTTAAAATGATGATTCACTATATCATGTGACCGTTCTACGATAGTGTATGTTTTTCCAGCTCGTATTTTAATTGGAGGTTCTAATATCACGTCTCCCATGGAAGGCGTGTCGGGCTGAGGTGCTGACCTAGATTTAGTTGCTGCAATACAAAGGACATTGTCTTCAAATACTTTCAGATCGACATTACCTCGACCGTTTACGGTGAAAAACGATCCAAACCCAAACAGATACACATCGACAGAGGATTGGAAAGATATAGCTTCAAATGATACTGGTATGGTCCATTTTCCGTTTATCACTGTTCCATTTCTGTTAAATCTCTTTGGTACTCCTATCCGTCTTTCCGTGTAGTGTAATGCCACGATTTCATTATTCCTGTTATGGTTCATAATTTCTTCAATCTCGTGTGGTCTAAGTATCATGTCAGGACAAACTCTATCGAGGAAGAAATCTTTGTCAATGTAGTCAAATCGTACATTGAACAATATGTCTCCGAGAACTTCCCTTTTATTTTCTGCTGTAACCTGAAACAGTAAATGTGACCATGTGTAAAACATGATTACTATAGCGTTGTGAACGGACCGAAACACATTCTTGTTTATTGACCCTTCAATCTAAAAGATCGTGATATACCGTATAATGGATTAAGTATAGTACAGTATAGGTCTAGTCTAATTAAGTATAGTACAGTAAAGGTCTAGTCTAACTAAGTATAGTACAGTATAGGTCTAGCCTAACTAAGTATAGTACAGTATAGGTCTAGCCTAACTAAGTATAGTACAGTATAGGTCTAGCCTGATTAAGTATAGTACAGTATAGGTCTAGTCTGATTAAGTATAGTACAGTATAGGTCTAGTCTAACTAAGTATAGTACAGTATAGGTCTAGTCTAACTAAGTATAGTACAGTATAGGTCTAGCCTAACTAAGTATAGTACAGTATAGGTCTAGCCTAACTAAGTATAGTACAGTATAGGTCTAGCCTGATTAAGTATAGTAAAGTATAGGTCTAGCCTAACTAAGTAAAGTACAGTATAGGTCTAGTCTAATTAAATATAAAACAGTATAGGTCTAGTCTAATTAAATATAAAACAGTATAGGTCTAGTCCAATTAAGTATAGTACAGTATAGGTCTAGCCTAAGTATAGTACAGTATAGGTCTAGCCTATTTAAGTATAGGACAGTATAGGTCTAGCCTAATTAAGTATAGTACAGTATAGGTCTAGCCTAACTAAGTATAGTACAGTATAGGTCTAGCCTAACTAAGTATAGTACAGTATAGGTCTAGCCTGACTAAGTATAGGTCTAGTCTAACTAAGTATATTACAGTATAGGTCTAGCCTAACTACGTACAGTACAGTATAGGTCTAGGCTAAGTATAGTACAGCATAGGTCTAGTCTAAGTATAGTACAGTATAGGTCTAGTCTATCTAAGTATAGTACAGTATAGGTCTAGCCTAACTAAGTATAGTACAGTATAGGTCTAGCCTAACTAAGTATAGTACAGTATAGGTCTAGCCTAACTAAGTATAGTACAGTATAGGTCTAAGTATAGTACAGTATAGGTCTAGCCTAACTAAGTATAGTACAGTATAGGTCTAGCCTAACTAAGTATAGTACAGTATAGGTCTAGCCTAACTAAGTATAGTACAGTATAGGTCTAGCCTAACTAAGTATAGTACAGTATAGGTCTAGTCTAACTAAGTATAGTACAGTATAGGTCTAGTCTAACTAAGTATAGTACAGTATAGGTCTAGTCTAACTAAGTATAGTACAGTATAGGTCTAGTCTAACTAAGTATAGTACAGTATAGGTCTAGTCTAATTAAGTATAGTACAGTATAGGTCTAGCCTAAGTAAGTATAGGTCTAGTCTAAGTATAGTACAGTATAGGTCTAGTCTAACTAAGTATAGTACAGTATAGGTCTAGCCTAACTAAGTATAGTACAGTATAGGTCTAGCCTAACTAAGTATAGTACAGTATAGGTCTAGCCTAACTAAGTATAGTACAGTATAGGTCTAGCCTAAGTATAGGACAGTATAGGTCTAGCCTGATTAAGTATAGTACAGTATAGGTCTAGCCTAACTAAGTATAGTACAGTATAGGTCTAGCCTAACTAAGTATAGTACAGTATAGGTCTAGCCTAACTAAGTATAGTACAGTATAGGTCTAGCCTAACTAAGTATAGGACAGTATAGGTCTAGCCTAACTAAGTATAGTACAGTATAGGTCTAGCCTAACTAAGTATAGTACAGTATAGGTCTAGCCTAACTAAGTATAGTACAGTATAGTATAGGTCTAGTCTAGGTCTACTAACTAAGTATAGTATAGTACAGTATAGGTAGGTCTAGCCTAACTAAGTATAGTACAGTATAGGTCTAGCCTAACTAAGTATAGTACAGTATAGGTCTAGCCTAACTAAGTATAGTACAGTATAGGTCTAGCCTAACTAAGTATAGTACAGTATAGGTCTAGCCTGATTAAGTATAGTACAGTATAGGTCTAGCCTGATTAAGTATAGTACAGTATAGGTCTAGCCTAACTAAGTATAGTACAGTATAGGTCTAGCCTAACTAAGTATAGTACAGTATAGGTCTAGCCTGTAACTAAGTATAGTACAGTATAGGTCTAGCCTAACTAAGTATAGTACAGTATAGGTCTAGTCTAACTAAGTATAGTACAGTATAGGTCTAGCCTAACTAAGTATAGTACAGTATAGGTCTAGTCTAACTAAGTATAGTACAGTATAGGTCTAGCCTGATTAAGTATAGTACAGTATAGGTCTAGCCTAATTAAATATATTACAGTATAGGTGTAGACTGATTTAATATAATATGACTATTTACCAAATGAAAATACCTATAATTTCATAATCGGGAGTTAATTGTAGTGAGTTTTGAGACACTTTATTATTAATTCGTATGCCCTGCATTGTTGTTTGCCCTTTTATTTGGATAGATTCTTACAGTGTTGCTTCCCTCCGCGATGTTGTTTATCGAAATGGGTTATTTCAAGGTCGGGTTTAAACCATGGACCCACATTTGAAGAAGTCACCTCAACTCTGCTATAGTTTATAGATTTAATTAGATCATACTGGAAACAATAAATATATAACATTTATTTGAGATATAAACTGTCATCAATTAAACAACTTGTGCTAAAACTTCTGTCTCCATTCTAAGAAGGTAATTGTTCAGATCTTGTATCTAGCGAGGTCGCAAAGACGCTTTAATAATTAACAAAGCTTGCAGCCATTTGACAATAATTCGGTGAAAAATCTTGCTTTCAAGTAGCGCAATCGTTAACAATCGCTGGTTGAAAAAAACTTTTCCGATAGTTATCGACTTCAAAATATGCTATCGACCTATTGTTATCTAGAGCTAAGCTATCGCAATACATCGATAAGTCGACCTATCGTTACACCTACTATAAATATATGGAACAAATCATACCTCCAGATTCTGTCGTACACATTCCGTCTTCGCCCATCTGACGACGGCATCATACAAGCCTGTTTCGTCGATGTTAAGATCTCTCATAGCGGTGACACTTTCGACACAGTCCCAACACATGTGAGTGAAGACCACTGAGTCTAAAACAGCGGTGGCATTTTCCGCAATAAATCGGAGGCAGTAATTTACTAGACAATTCATCCCTAACTCATGCGACTGATGCAGTAGTTCAAAGGCTTTGTCAACTGTTAGGTATTGATCAAGGAACGCCTCACATTGAGAAACAAGAATCTCTATCAAATACTTGTTGGCTGCGTAACACACAGGTACGACATTTCCCACTGTTAAGTCGATCTTATCTGTATACAAATACCTGTAACACAAAGATATAAAAACATAACAATAAGAAATTCAATATGAGAAAAACCACTGAGAAATATGAGAAAAACTTTAAATGGTTGGTAGAACTGATAAAAAGAGAGAGAAATATACAAAGAAGAAAGGACAAGAGAATAACATTGCAATATAAATTTAGAATCAGATACGGGAAAGCTTAATTTTGGACTAAATTGCATCATATATCTGTTTCGTTCTTCTTTGAATCGTCAGTCATTTTAAGACACTTAAATTAAAACTCAAAACTTATTGAAATATATATTTTCATCCGTGCCACTATTCGAAATATAAAACGTGTCAGGTTGCGGCAACCTTGGGGACTAGACATTTCCTAAAAACTGGCATTATCATAATATGTATATACAGATAATTTAAAATATAAGCTGTATTTTGGCGAGGTTGAAGAAAGACAAAAGCGGCGAGTCAGGTTTAGCTGATGACGTACGCCAAAATAAGTGCTCCGCGCAGAAATATAGTTGCAAACTTCAACGGATATTACAGCGATTTTATAAATTTTCGTAAATCAACTTGTACATTAAAACATATAAAATCACTTATTTCCAAGTTATTTATATTGTTAAACGTAATTTTAAGTAAATTCAGAAATCGACTCTGTCGAATTTACACACGTGCGAAAATACAGCTGTTTTCAGTCACTGCCAAATACAGCAAAACAGATGTGGCAGACTTATTCCGACAACGGCACTGACAATTTTAACATAGGCATGTTAAATTCCTATGCATTATTTATTCATTTAATTTGCTGATATGAAATGCATGAGTGGCAAAGACATTTTTTCGCCCTTGTTTGAATTAATAAGTAAACAGGGAGGGGCTCAACAATGACTGTTTTGAGACTCTTACATAGCTGTTGACACTAACAGATAAAGCTCTAAATTATTACAGAGAGATACCTTAATAATATCTTGAAAGTTTCTGAAGATATATCCGGGATTGTTATCTCCTCTGTATCGGCCAAATGACCCATCAACATAGCGAAGAAAACTGGGCTTCTGCAAATTAGTACTAGTTTATGGGCGCTAATCCTTTCCTTGTCTTGACCGACAATAAATGTGACGTCATTAGCTAAGGAGGAAGTGAGGATGTAGTCAAAACTTTCGGACAATGATTTTCCAGCTTGCCAGTATGGTTCAGATGTAATAGTTGTCATTTTATCTGTATAAAAAAGGAATATTTAGCAGTGTTTATATATATATATAATATAGATGATTAATGAAGTAATAGCAACAGTACAGACATATTTGTTCTATGGATGTAGTGTAAATTAAGTAATATTTGCGTCTTGATAAAGGGGCAGGTTTCCTCGAAAATTTGACAATTCGCTTGTCCGTACTACTGCTATGACTTCATTGATCATAAATCTATCCCAGTAATACGCATTCATCGAACATTTGTTTGTGAGGATCCAGTGCCAATATTGGACCATACCGTCAATATCACTTACTAGATTCTAGACGTGCATTTACATATAAAACTCTCTCCTTCTAGTAAGATATATCAACCGTATAGTCTAGTGTTGAAATGTTTTTTGGATGCCTGTTACTGGAATACATAGATATATGATTAATGATGTTAAAACGACAATACCGATAACAAATTGTCATTTTTTGTGGCAATTCTCTCGTTTATCAATACAGAATATTTGACTCAAGTAGCATGTTCATCCTTTAGTACATAAAACAAAGATAATATTTATAACTATAAATCGAGAAGCTGTATCACATTTCTATACAATATTTAGTTAAGGGCATCTTCATGCTATTGATGCATCTTAAAGATGTATAACGAATATGAAATATTTTTCTGTATAGGTGTACATCCGATCTTTCATTACAAATGATACGCAGGTAATCACATACCATCTTCTCTTTAAACACAATTCAAAACATACAATGCGTTATATCACTTGATTATTTTATGGTTACTAATGTAGATTTTATTGTTGGTATTGCAGTGATGTGGTTTTTGCTCAATATCCTGGAATAATGTTTATCAACACAAAGGAAGGAAATTCATATTTATCTTTTTTCTACACTGTAAGATATAAATAATTAATTGATCCTTCTTATAAAAATTGGAGATAAATATATTAAGTGCCAACCCCCATAAAGGTTTTTTTGTGTCACAAATAAAATGTTTAAACCCAGATGGTTATAAAGAACTCACAATAACAGACATTAATTTATATCAAATGCCTTTTACGTGCATATTAAATAAGTAGTTAACATAGATAATGGGGAAGTGTCTTTATCATTATAAAGTCAAGGTTAGCATCATGACAGTCAAAATATTCAATGTCCAATTTAACAAGATCTTGTGATGAAAAGATAACCGAATTGTGTGTATCTATGCCCCTGAACATAGTACAGTTAATATGTGGACAATGTATTCTCTATTCTCATGATATCAGTACTGATGTAAGCGCAAAATATATAATCTCTCGATAACGGCACATACTCGTCCATGTTATCAGTTGCCATGATCGTATAGTCACCATGGGTAGATCCGTATCACAAACAGCACAGGGATATAGCTCATACTTTTGATTGACTGTGGCTAATAATATCATTTTAAATCCAGTTTAGTAAATACTATAGGTAGTCATACTTTAGTTCACTGATATTTAATTCATCTCACATTAGTCTGTCAAGCATCACACCTCTCTCACCATATGTTGACGTTAAACTTCAAATCTAATTACATGAAAGTTATTTACATGTTTAACGTGTAATTAAAATAAATCCAGATACTGGTGTAAAGCGAGCAGAAAAAATGCATCAGATAAAATACACAGACAGTAAAGACATACAAAGCAAGGTACATGTACATAAATTCAGACATGAGGAAAAAGGGATTTTACAAAAAAATACAAAATAATACTGAGACATAACGATGTAACCAGATAATATAAAGCATGGCATAGAAAGTATTTGTCATTTTTCTGATAACCTTTCTTATATTTTTTTTACCAGAAAACCCAAGCTTAGCTAGTCTTTAATTATGCAGTCAAGTGTGACACATGTTGACCTCGCATTGGAGAGTTACAGGTAGGGAATAGCAGAAGTCAGATCATTAAACACATAAGTGTGTTATTCATAAATAACATTGTCTAAATGTACACCACAATGACCAATGATACCATCATCAACATTACAGGACATTAATTACACTTAAAAGTTTATATACTGTTATAATTACCATAAACTATGATAGTTAATCACCTCCAAATTATATATAGTTTAAATTAACAATGCTATATTTCCTACCTTTAAACGTGCCAAACTGAAAGTAGATTTCAGGGTTTTCCAATTTTGATAAGGCAAATACTCAGAGGCATGGCGACAGAAAGGACCTCTCCGTCTTCACAAAAACTGAGTATTTCTCTTGTTTTGACATATAGGTATATATAAAGAAATTGCACAGGATATTCGTACATATACAACTAATTTATCCTCAGAACTCAGACACAGATATGTACAGGTACTTATTGGATTCCTTTTCACTTATTATGGTAAAAATATCATTTTTCGTTGAGATTTGTATCTGATGAGATACATTTCGCGCAAAACATTACAAAAATATGTTTTGCACTTTTCACACAAGTTAATAACTTAAACCACTACTGTATCTAGTATTTGTTGACGATTAATTCTTTTGTTAGAAAACACAGGTGAGTACATACTAAAAATAGATTTCCTTACTTGTGTATAACTTCACTGCCGCTGTCCATAGGATCACATGGTGCAGTGTATGACGTATTGAATTGTAACTAAATTGTACAAGATATACTTAATTGTTTTTTATACAGATGTAATATCAAAACATATATGTTTTGGTCAGTGAATCAATATAACATGTTGTGTTGTAATTAAAAAAAGAAACTATACAACAATGTTTCTGAGTTCAACTGTTCACTGTGACTAAAATATTAGTTGAAACAGTTTGCGTTGTGTCCGTCCGTAATTCCGCTACCATGTCCGGGCACTATCATTAACTACTTGTTACTTGAATTAATGTCACTCTGACCTACATATTAACGTTTAACTTATATAAAAGAAAAACGTTTGTCCTTGTCCAGTTTTTCTACACTTCTAATGTTTGGTACTTCGTTCCAGGGATGTGCCTTAACTTCGGTGATGCGGTGTGTCGTGCACAAAAGCAGGTCATTGTGATCTACAACTTGATCTCGTGCTACATTAAAGCAATATATTGTCTAGGCTGTATCTACTAACCTACTTTTCACCTTTATATTTTGGATAATGGTTCGATTGTTGAGGCGGTATATCAAGTAACACAATACAGTCACACGGACCTTCTTTTTACCTTTGACCCAAATTAAATATAAAGTTTGTCGGGGCGTTACCTCCGACATCATTAGTCACAGGCACATCATACTTCGGCTGTGGGTTTCCTTTAAGTGTTTTGATGGTGGACATGTAAATCCCCGAAATGTTTTATCTATATATAAATCTAATTTCAATACAAAATATCTGCCCCAGTTTCCAATTTTTGGAAACTTCACAACGGTACATATACATATAATATGTTTTGTTTTACGTTTAATACTATTTTTCTTATTTGTAATTAATCGCAACTAAGTCGATGTTGTGAATCTCGATATGTACCATATCATGTTGCATAATAGGGCTTTGTGACTGTGATATGCAGTCACATTTACGCGTAAATCACTTTTGATCAATAAGCATTAGGCCTGGTGGTCTATTTCTATTGTCTTGTTTTCTTTGCCTTGCTTCAGGTCTCAAAAAACGTATCTGTTTAAAGTACTTATTAACAAAAAGATGGGTTTATGCAGCAACTCCTTCATCTCGTGTCCGTTTTTTTTATACATAGAAATTTCTAAAAATTGTTATGAAGAACTGAAATTATTTTGGTTAGCGACTTGGTTTAATTGCAGATCATTGGACTACAGACAAATGTTTTGTATAACGCGACATACTGAAATATCATAGTTTAGACACAACGTAACAATTACATGTGTACCATGCTAATGTTTTAATACGACCATGGAACAAGAAGTTAATTTCAATGACTTTGACATATCCGTGGTGAAGGACAGAATTTCATTATAACCTTTTGTTTGCGGTCACAGAGGTATATATCACGTTTCAAATGATACAAATTTATCAAAGGTTCAGTAAAGCCAAATCATAATTAAACTGTAGCATACCTCTTTTTCGTCCTTCTAAGACAAGTCAGCAAAACTATCTGTCTAGATTTTAAAGTATAGGATGTAACTGAAGACAATAAACAAAACGATCAAACAAAACTCAAGGTGAGAAGGGGTCCTATCCCAATAATAAATTTCGAAATGGCTTATCTATGTCTATGGCATGTTCCGGTTGACTCAACAGATATTGCTTTTACAAAATATTATTAATTTCCACAGAATTACTACGTAATTGAGACACGCTCTGAAGACTGGCAATGTGGGAAACCAGTACTGGAATGTTTGCACCATATGTTTACCTCCGGTACAGCCAGTGACGTCACGTTTGTTGCGGGTGAAAACAAGGCAAACATTCCAGCCCACAAAACGATCCTTATAAGTAGAAGTCCAACGTTCTTCACTATGTTTGAAGGATCTCTTCCTGAAAAGGGGAACGTTATCATTCCGAACATACAGGGGGACATTTTCAAAGCTTTTTTGGTGTAAAGTATTGCTTTATTTTTCTCACTAGAATAGCAGAAAGCAATTAATTTATTAAGTGAAGATCATTAAAGATATACTCCCTAGATGTTGGACCGAAAATGGGCATAGTTCGACAAAAATGAATTCCAACATCTTAAATTCCAATTTTGTATATGCTTGTACTGTGTTATCTATAGTTGTAGTTATCAGAAGAAACAAAAGTGCTTTATATGACGTTTTGAAGATATTTCGCGTAATTGACAGTGTGATTTGGTTCAAAGCTTCAAAAATTTGAATGGTATTTTGTTGCTAAGGTAACTCTCTCTAGTATAAATCTGGAATCGTTGAGTAGAATTTCGACCTGATTTGTCAGACTTGAAAATAAAGATTTCGCTTGCTTAATGATCTTTGTAAATCTGACTATTTGGTTGAAAATTGCAATGATTGAAATACAGCAACCACCTTATTCTTATCTTTCTACTCCAGCATATAGTGTTCAA